GCCATCTTTATCAGTTTCAAAGGGTCCCATGTCCCATGTAGCGTGGTGTTACAGATTAGAGATTACTAATCCTTTTACTCCACCTGTGTAGCGGTTTTAGATTTTAGCTTCGCGCTACCGGGGACTCAGATTGATTTTTTAATTAGATATTCACAGATATATGTCGCTGGCTAATTCATAACACGATTCTCTGCTGTGATCGCGCTGGAGAAAAATAAACGTAATTATTCTGTGAACCTTGAAGAGGGTATATACGGGTAGATTTTGTCACATGGAGAGAAAATAAATCTTTTAACCACAAATCGTGTAGCGTACTACAGTAAATGTTTAAAGTACGCTTGGCGCATCTGTCGTAATTGTATTTTAACGTAACTGACTTGATATAAGACATAATGTGAATAGTATTATGTCACACGTCATAATGGTCACACTTTCATGTCACAGGTGTTTCGAGTTGTGGCATCATGCGTTGGAATCTCAGACCTCCCGTAGGTATATGTATATAATTATATTAGAATATATATCTGTTTGACTGCCTGTTGTCTGTATTTCTTTCTCTTTGTTTGACTGTCTGTCCATCTGCTTGTCTATCTGTCCATCTACCTGTCTCTCTGTCTGCTTGTCTGTCTGTCTGTCTGCCTGTCTGTCTGTCTGCTTGTCTGTCTTTCTTTCCTCTCATCCCCTCTTCTCTATAACACGAAGATAGACGTACCACCACGCAAATGATTTATAAGAACGAGATTTACTTCAACTTCACTTGTATTTGAGATCACTACGCTAGTTATTACGCATCTAATGTCACCCGCCTCAGCTGCGACATTCAAGATGTAAATCAGTCCCGCGTGTGCCTTAGACGCTGCTCAAGTCACAGATTAATAGGTGTCCTTTTGTTACAAAAAGCTGTTGACGATGAATAATAATAATGAGAAGAAGCATTGAAGTTTAATCGGCGACTTCTGCTTGGGCAGATATTTTGTAAAGAACACACCTGTGATTTTTGTATCACTACACTTAAATGATAAAAATATCTGCACACCGACAAACATATCGTCTTTCAAGAACAAATTCATGCATGCGCTTGGACGCTTAACTACTACGGCTTTAGTCCAATGCAGTTTTCATGAAGTGTCCGTGTACATTTTGAATCCGTGTTTTTCAAAACGTACTGATAGATTTGCCTTACGGAATCGAACCATCTCAGTTCTGACAAAACGTATAAATTAGCGTCATAAAATATAAGCTACTGTACCAGCATGTTGTAATATCATAAAGATCAATTAAATGTAATTATTGTGTTTGGCAGAAAGGGAAATTTAATCATATCACGTTGAAAATGTATGGCAATATCAACAATTTCGATCTGTTTCGTAGGTCGACAACTATATGGTGAAGAATTTCAGCACAGATTTCACCAAAAATCTCACCGGCAATATCGTCTCTATTTAGGTTGTTTCAGATTCACCTACATTAAGATACCACGGCCAATGCAAGACGCTTACCTTATGATTTCTCGATCTAAACTTCGCCAACTACAGCCCGATAGGACGTTTTCAAAACGTTCCAATTTGAGTAGTCAATGCAGCGCTTTCCTCGGCACATAATTCGCATCTGGAACTGGTCCGTTACTTTCAATATCCAGTGATGAGGGGTCCGTTTCGAAATATTAGATCCATTTATGACAGCACATAATGGATGCGATGTAGAAATATGAGGTTGCACGTTAAGGGCAAAGGACGCGACCTAAAAAATCAGGTGAACTTTTAGAGAGAGTCTTTGACGGCATTGTCTTGTGCAATGATTCAAATCTCAGCTGCAGTTGCAGGGGGCAAATTGAACTTACAATACGCACGTTTTATGTCCTGAAAGAACTTACTTCTGAGCACTTTTCCTATAACCCCCAGATTGAACGTCATTCACACCTTTGAAATTTATGTTGACATGATGCATATTTCAATATTGGACTTCATGCTACCTAATGAATAAATAATTACTAATGTACTTTTATTTGCTTGAGTGATTTTTCGTGTTTCCTCTACCTATTACGAGATTTAGCACAATTAGATTAATATTTGATATAGGACTGCCTTTCTGTACGGTGTTTGCACAGTCCTACTGGTTTTCGTCTTAAATGACAAATAAAAATTCACTTGAGATGTGCCTGAACAAAGATCACATGTGAAGTCGCGTAATTGTTTTGTGTGGGGATAGTTCGTTGTCGCTGAATAGGAAAACGCTATTTGAAAAACAGTGAGTTATGTTTGGTGCAAAAAGAGTAGGGGTGAGGTGGGGGGTGGGGGTGGGGGTGAGGGGGGGGGAGACTGGCCTTGTTGCCAAGGGTCTTTGGTCACTCCAAGTTGACTTTCAAAATAAAGGATTTTACTTTCATAAGTCCCTTGTTTTATAATCCCCTTCCTTTTCTGTAGCCATTGGTTAATACGTAAAATGTCGGTTACATATTATACAAATAAAACCTAACAAATTTATGTAGTAGAAATACTGACGGGATCGCGTTTAGACATTTTTTTTTCTCGTGTATTTAGAACTGTACGCCTCACACTACTGTGCTGAACCGCAGCACGCTTTCACGTACTTAACGTCTTCAGAATACGAAATTTTGACACTTAGTAATCTTTAATCTTCAGTGTTGTTAAACCGACATAAGTCAACACTTCACATTTGGTAATAGAGTCGACTTCTCTTGAAGTGTCCTGATTGTAAGGTAGCGAATTGACGTAGCGACACGGGTTTGTGGTGGGTAATTGGGGCTATACGGGACTGAACAGGTGCATTTGGTGGTATTTCAATAAAAAAAGGCTTTTAAATTTTAACGGATTCTGGCCTGTTCGCCAGGGCGTACCTTGTTCTAGGTGTGTTCTGGCGACTACTACTAAGGACGGAAAATTAGACAATGACATTGTAATGTATATGTCATTTTATTATAATATTATTATTTCGATTGATCATTAAGCAAATTCATTAACCAAATATGACCGTCTGACGCCTGATTAGCGAGGGGGGGGGCATTGTAATTTCGCAGTTTTTATAGCAAACTGGGGTGTTTTTTTTTTTTTGTTTCATTTTAATCCCATATACAATGGTTCTCTCTCTCTTTGTCTCTCTCTCTCTCTCTCTTTCTCTCTCTTGGCGGATTATAAGGAATAGCTTATTACATTCTGTTTTAAAAATACATGTACACATGCTACACTTTTGATTATGAAAATTGAAAAAAGAAATCACGCCAGGGGGGAGGGAGGTCATGGAAACCGTCATGTAAGGCCCCATTCAGAATAGGGGACTAACTAGTCTGAAGGTCAAATATGGCGGCCCACTACAAAGCTTGTCGTCTAATCCACTTAAGACACTGAATAGATATCCATGGGGAAGCATTCAAGTGGGTCGGCCATATTTGACCCTTGGACCAGTTAGTCCCCTATTCTGAATGGGGCCTAATAGTACTCCATTACTATTGCTGCTGTCTGTTTGCAATATACCGCAGACACACTCGGCGTCGTTCTCTCTTCGCAAATTCAGTTATGTCGAGCTGGTATCAAGTCTGATTTAAAAACAGCCATAAATTCTATTAAAAAAAACACACTTGTTAGTTTTGGAAGGGTCATTTAAAGTGATTCATCTTCCGTGAAATGATTTGTATAGCAGCCGGTGAATACTATTGTTACTGAAATATAGCTATTTGATTTCAGAAACTCAAAATCCGTTGAACGCTCGAGCAAGCTGCTCCGCAATATGGTGACAAATAATTCAACTTATTGTGACTAGTTTACTTGTCGAGCATATGGTATTAAGTTTAACTTTATGATTTAGCTGGCGCAGGGCTATAAGTCAGTTACTCTGCTGTCGTGACAAATTGGTAGAGAACGTGTGTTAAATACAGCATTCATGAACGGTGTAGGAAGCACAGACTCACACGCAACGGTATACAAGCAAAAATGTGGATATTGTGAGAAAAGTATAGGGAAAGACAGGGAAAACACAGAAAAGTCGAACCCTGGGTAGGGCTCTTAGGACAGGGCGGGATATACAGGGGGGCAGGGGTTCACCTTTTATGTATCCCACTTAACTGAACAAAGTTTTGCATGTAGCCATGCCTCATTCCCCACACCCATCCCCTTCTCCCAATCCCATTAAGTAAAAATCGTAGATTTACTGATTTCACACTGGTAGAAGGAAAAAAGATTGTCGAAAATCGCCCAGCAAAGTGTACGTCACAGGGATGGTAAAGCTATACTTGTTTCCAGATTAGCTCGCTGTTTATTTAGAGATGAAACAGGAAGTACAGAGGAGAGCCTTCTGTAGCTTAGCAGGGGAATCTCCTGTCCCCTCACAGTCAGATGGCAACTGGCTGAAAAACATAACGTCATGGCGGTTATTTGAAACTTTTCAGTGAGTCCGCGTCACGAAGTAGCGCCGTTTCTGGACAAATGCGATGGCTGACGTGAAAAACTGTACCTTGCAAATAAAATCCTTTTAAAAACAAACCAGGGCGTTTTGAGTTGTGATTTTGTAAAGATAATAAGGAAAGTTCATGCTCTTACTCATGATTTCAAAGGATAACTGAAACATCCACATATTTAAATGAAATATGTTCACGATTTTGAATTTATGAAAAAAAATCGATCCCAAAATGACTCTCGTAGGGGGTGGGACTATATTGCGAGAAAAAAAGTTGCCAGCCTAAATTTTTTTAATTTTTATACATAAGTTAAAATATCACCAAAGCTTTATAATTTTAAAGGGAATAGTTTGCACACTCTCTAGTATAGCCGCCTGACGAAAAATTCCAAGATGCAGCTTAAAAAACGACGAAAAAATGGCCGTCTCAGACCTTCGCAAAAAAACCATTTATTTAAAGGTTAAATATTTATTGGAGATAACAACACATATATAATATCAAAGAAAAATAATAAAATCATATTTCTCCCACTGTACCTTTCGTGTATGCGTTCCTGGAAAGTTTCACGATGACCTTGAACTACTAGAGCATTGTGGGAGTTCCGATTCAACCGCCAAAGCTGGACAGCCTCACCGATAGCTGGGTGTTATAGCATTATTATGTGTTTTTTGTGCTTATATTTAAATTATTTTGATATATGGAAGAATAATCAAGAGTCTGTACACATGTGCTCAAGACCGTTCATCCACGAGAGGAAGAGAACCGCGGACCACCCAAAGTGCGGGAACTGGACATCATGTGACGTCCATTTCCCCGCGGTTTGTACACCGTAGTGGACAGGGGATACTCCAGTGGACGATGGAAATTTATATCTATACAGCGGCAGAATATTTTCAGATTATGTAGATACTCTGAAAACTACATATAAGGTGAGTAGAACGCATGACTGGTGTGCATCGATTTTCAGATAATTTATTTTGCCGGTTTTACTGTATAATTATGACTTTTATGTTTTTACCTGCCCCGCCCCCTTCACTAATTAGTGACCTTTCTAATCAACCACCCACAGAGTAATTAGCCCGCCCAAGTTGTCATGGAGCTTCATTTATTTTGATTAATTAACCAAAAAATGGGCATAAAAATTATGACTCAAATAGGCAGGTATAAAAGCTGTATGCAAATCAGATCCTATCACACTTGCAACTCTGTTGTCTAGTGTAGTTCATGTAGAACACTTGTCTTGGCTGTTGATATATATACATATTACCTTCAAGTAGCAATCAAGATCTTTAAGTGGGATAAGCAGAAATTCTGAAGTATTGCAAGTTAAGTTTATTCGTTATTTTTATATTTGTAGCATTTTTGTAGTTAATTGTGTAGTTAAGGATGGCTTTCTCCCGCCCTTCACCCCCTCCTGTCCCTCATACTTTTGAAGCTAGCTGTGCACCTATGCAGTCCTGTAGAGGTCAGGTTTTAATTGTTGGGGATTCAATGTTGACACATTTAAAAGAAAACTTTTCACCTTTTTCGGATTTAAACACCACAACATTGTCAATTTACGGTGCCAAAATTGAGGAGGTTTTTTTAGGCATCCAAAAAGCAAACCTCTCTCTCATGAATTTTGATATTTTGGTTTTACATGTGGGCACCAACAACATAAAATTACCATCGGAAACCGTTAACAGTTGCCTTCAGAAATTCCATTCTCTGGTTTCTAATGTTTGTGGTGTGAACCCCAACATAAAAATTTGCATTTCGGCTGTTTTACCCCGCGAGGTAAACAACTTTAAGCCCATCACGAATCTTTTAGCTCAGCCAAATTTTATACAAAATTTGAACAACAAATACAGCTTGTTGAACAATAGCCTAAACTTTTACTGCAAATCTCAGCACTTTTTGTATTTTTTGGACAGTACTGAGATTTTCCAAAGACATCAAGCTGTGAAATTACTAGCACGTGATGGCCTTCATTTAAATTTTTTAGGCATTAAACTTCTAACTCAATACCTGTCTGATGCAGTTCAGAAGGTTGCAGCTGAGCTTGTCCCTGTGCCCACTCCCCTTCCACAGGTCATTCCTACTCTATCTTCTGAGGAGGATTGGCCTGCCCTCCCTACCCCTACCCCTCCTCCTGATGGTCTTACCTCTCCAGTATTCCTTACTGCCCACCCCCTGACTTCAACCCCACCACCACCACCTTCACTCCCACCTTCCTTTCCCCCCACTGCCCACCCCCTTCCTTCAACCCCACCACCACCACCTTCACTCCCACCTTCTTTCCCCCCACTGCCCACCCCCTTCCTTCAACCCCACCACCACCACCTTCACTCCCACCTTCCTTCCCCCCCACTGCCCACCCCCTTCCTTCAACCCCGTCACTTACCTCATCCCTACCTTCTCTGACCCCTACCACCCGCCTTCAACCTTCAAAACCCCTAACTACTCACCCCCCTTCTCCTCACCCTCCCACTGCACACCCTAAACCTTCATTCTCTCCACTTACTTTCAAAACATGCAATAAAACAAAAAACAAGCAGACACCATGCAATCGCAAGCAAACATGCAAACGTACAAATGCAGTGAAGACACTTGATCCTCAGATTTCTTCCATTATCTGTCACAACAGATTTGCCTCTCTCTCTGTGGAAGAATGTGAGGAGCAAGTTGAAGACTGCATCTACAACAGGCATACAGTGCCATCACAACCATCTCACCCTCTCATACCTGCACATAAACAGAAGTTAGTTTCCAAAATGTTTCACAAGTCGCCTTTTAAGATGCGTGAAAACATTGAAGCCACTAGCTCACCAACCCCTAACACTGTTGCACATACCACACCCACCTCCAACAAAAACACTGGCTGCACCAGGGGTTACCTAGGGGTCCTTTCTGTATCTGTGTTGTTTGCATTTTTACTCTTTTTGGTAGGAATAGTGCTGTATGTCATTCCACTGCCACCACCTTTTACAGGAATGAGTGTAGCACTGTACCTACCAACAGTAGTAAAAATGCTGGTGTCTGTATGTAATGGCTGTGGTAGTAAGCTGTTGACTACAAAGTGTAGAAGAGGTAGTGGGATAGGTAGGCACAAGCGTAGAAATGGTAGGAATAGGGCAAAAAAAAGAAGGAATAACTATAGTTCTTCTAATAAAAGAAAAAGACATAGAAAAAGTTTTTATATATATGATAAGTATCTCAGTTCTCCTTTAATAACAGATTTTGTAAATAATAAGAATACTGCTACAGATACATCAAATACCAACAATGTTGCTGCTGAGAATGACAAAGTAGGTAGTGTAGCTGCTGAAGACATTCCTGTAGATAAAGAAATAGAACCTAATGTTACCATGTCTGATTATAGTTACAGTTATTCTACTACTAAGGGGACAGTTTAGTCTGGCTTCACAGTCTGAATAGTTCAGAAAATAATGTAATAATCATATCACCAGATACTGACGTACTAGAAATAGGGCTTGGTTTGTATGATAGCAGAGAGTACCTAGGTAAAAACATCTTGATAAAATTAAGTTGTAAATTGTACGATGAAATGTATGTTAATATTAAGAGGTTGCATGGTTACATAATGAATGATCCAGACTTGAGTAGGTTAGATAGGTCAAAGGTAGGTAAAATTATGCAGGTTTTGTTTGTATGTTCTGGGTGTGATTATGTTTCATTTTTTAGGGGATTTGGTAAAAAAACAATATATTCTATATTCTATAGGTATGCTGACTTTATATCTGGAAATAGTGCTGTAGGAACTCTTGATGAAGTAGGTGCAGGGAACTTCAGAAGTGGACTATTAGCTTTTTACCGTCTGTTAGGTTGTCTTTATTTTAGGAAATGCTGCAATGCTTTTTTGTCAGTGAATCCAGACAGTAGCCCCATTAGTTATTTCAGAAGTTTGTATAATAAGGACCTCAGTTATTCAGAAAATGTTTCTATTTGGTTAGGTAATATAAGGTCGGCTTTGCTAGATGTAGAATCCTTGGAGCATGTATTGCCACTAGAAGATAGCTTAGAGTTACACTGGTTAAGGACTTGTTATATAGCACAGATGTGGGGACAAGCAGGCCAGAATAGGATAGAGTATTTAGATGTCTTAGAATGGGGGTACCAGTTAGAAGAAGGGAAACTCAAATATAAATTCTCAACAAATGAGGTGGATAAATTAGCACAGGATAATTTAAATTTCTTAATGAAAGGGTGTAGTTGTAGGAAGGTAGATAACATGTGTGGCAACCGTTGTGGATGTAGGAAGAAAAATAGAACATGTGGGCCAAGTTGTGTATGTGAAGGGGAGTGTTTAAATAGCTTAGATAATTTGTGTAGTGAAGAAATTATAAAAGAAAACAGTGATAGTGAAGATAGTTGTAGTGAAGCAGAACTTTAAAAAGCAATTATGAATATAATTTAGATAAGACAGATTACAAATGTACTATTTATATTTTTCAGTATTTAAATGAAAAAAGACGGGAAGTGAGACATCTTCAACAACTTTTAGAAACTTCATAACAACACCTTAACAACAGCTGACAGCCCACATACTGTACCTTATATCACCTATGGATTCTGCTATGGTCCGACAGCCAAGGTATGAAATAGTACAGGAATTGTACAGTATATAAGTAAAGGTGGATGATTAAAAAAGTAATTTTACTCAGGAAAGTTGCTTTGGAATGTAAAACCTTTGAAATATTAAAATATGAATTTGTGTGAAATAATTTTTTTAATTAGCTTTGTTTTATTTTTCAGATAACAGCATTGCAAGGGCCACGTACTTCTTATTATAGGATATAAGAGATATAAGGAATGTGTATTGTTTGCTGTTAAGAAGAGAAAGACTTTTTTTGTCTGTTGTCTGATTTCAAATGGTTGAATGTCTCATGTGCCTAGAACATCAAAATGTTACTGTACAATCAATGATTAGCTTGCGGTATTTTATATGCTCAAGTCCTGTCTGTTTATTATTATTATATAAATATTAGTATGTTGCCATTGTCTGGTGGCAGCATGGATTTTTTTGCTTTTTTATTCCCAAAGATAAAGCCTGCTATAAATAAATATGGATAGTGACATCAGTGCAATTTAAATTCAACTGATTAAAAATTACCTAATACTAGTATCTCATCTGCTGAGAACATCAAGGTTATTGTAACGTTAATGTAAAATTAAAATAGTATTTAGCTAAGGGGTACACTCCCGTCTGGATAGATAACTTTTGACTAGAATAACTTGATTTAAGATACATCTGTGAGAATCTACTATTATGATATGATATGATTTTTTTAAAGATTTAAATTAAATGTTGAAATTGGTGCAAGCATTTAATAAGTGGTTGCATGCCTGAAATGTGCAATAAATTCTTTGTTTCATGGGAATAATGGTCTGAATGCCCCATTATGTTTCTAATAAATTACCATATATATATATACACATGTGATAGTTGTTTTTCTTTTTATTTGTCACTGCCTAAATTCTCACTGAGGCAAATTCCCATTTGCATAGATTTTCTTAAATAAAAATGTGCTTGCGATAATTGTTAAAAAGTTAACATAAGACAAAAATAACTTAAGTATTTTTAAAATAAGTAATGATATGTAATATCGATTTTTTTTTTCATTTATTATTATCACTATTTAAACAAACATCGTATATGTTTCAATTGAACATGAAAGTTTCTCACCTACCACATGCATTCTCAAAACAGGAAGTACATTTTAACTATCAGTTGCTCTTGTCTTGATAAACAAATATCACTGACATCTGACGGCTAGTGTGACGATGCCAGTTTTCCGACTGGTAAAAAAAGTTGCCAGGTTTGATTTTAATGAAACTTTATAGTCAGTTTTCTTATGCAAAAAGCCACCTTCCACTGACGTGAATAAGTTGCACAATTCCTGTGACAGGAGATATCTCAAAATGTTACAGTGTTGCTATGACCCAAAAGTGACCAGTTGGCCGACTTCGTCGAGATCTACCTCATTCATTGCTTCTTACTTCTAGGTAAATCACGCACGATGATACACATAATAAACTCTGCTACCATGTCTTAATTTTCACCAGGTACTTATGCAGGGTATAAAGTACAATTCTTGAACTTTCGCGAAGGTTACGCAATTTACAAAATTTCGACCGCGACGTCATCTCAGCGCACGCGCTCCGTTCTGAATATCTTCCTACGCGCAGCCAGTTGCCATATGACTGTCACCCTTGTCTTCGATTTGCCTTCTTATACATGAAAATCTAAATCTTGCATTGTACCGGGTATTGAAGCCGATACACAGAAGCATCTTGCAACAAAGTGCATTATATAAAAATAAATTATGTACATTGTAAAATAATATAGTAGTACACATGTATGACAAAAAAAAAAAAAAAAAAACAATTTGTAATACTAAACCTGCTGCATTATGAAAATATTTTCACTATATCACAGTACAGTGTAAGTATAAGTAGCTCCTTTTACAAGTATCTCCTTTTGTATTTTTGCTGGAGCTTCAGTTGATGGCGAAGTATTTAAGAAAGAAATGTGAAATTTAGCACCGCTAAATAAGTTGGGATACAACAATCCACCAAGATACACAGAGTTTTCATAGAAAACACAGATCGTTCCTTGCGCATGGCTTACACCCGAGAAACTTAGATCAATACGGCATCGGGGGAAGTACATACAAGTCGGTAAATATCTACGGTGTTTTCCCATTAAACGCGTGCGTTATCAAATCACTGAAACAAAGCAAAGTGGCAATGCATCCTTTAATCGTTAACCCGACAACTGTGACCGTTTAATTTAGCTGCTGGGTTTGGCACATTGTCGGGGCCTTCCGAACAGGAAGCTTGGCAAATTCTTAGTTAAAATCAAATATCAGCTTCTATAATTGAAACGGAAATTTGGACATTCGGTTCGACCACTGGGGCGGAGAGGAAGCTGACACAGAGTTAAGTGTTGTTAGTGGGATACGGGGACGTATGTATGGAGGAAAGATGAAGGGCGAAGTACACGTGTGTGTGTGTGTGAGCTTAAAGAGAGAAAAATAGGGAGTGAGAGAGCTTAGAGAGAGAGAGAGAGAGAGAGAGAGGGCATGTGTGTGTGTGTCTGTGTGTGTGAGAGAGAGAGAGAGAGAGAGGGAGAGAGAGAGAGCGTAAGTGTCTTCTCAGAAATAAAAATAATACATTGCAATCTTGCTTAACTTCAGAAAATCCAAAGCATAAATCACAATTCTAAGCATGATTAACCGATGGGAAATGAACAGTTTTCATGGTAATTTACAACATATGAGCACAGATAGTCATTTCTTCCAACTTATCGAGCAAAGATCGACCATTTAAAGCCGGATTACAGATCAAGCTTTGTCTGACTATCTGTAGGGAAGTCGGAGACATATCCGCCACATCGATTTAAAAATACACACAAATTACACAACAGATTGTTATTTTATCATCAAGGTCGCTTGCCAGGAAATAGAGTTTCAAATAGAGTCTTTGGTGCGTACGCACTTGGAAAGGTGAGATGCAGGTGAAGGAGGAAGTTAACCCAATTAATGAAATATGTCGATTTTCAATTGAGCGGTATTTATTTTTTGACGAACCTGAGTCTGATTTATTGCACAAAAAGATGTGTTTACGTATAGGTTCTGTAGTCACTACAAGCCCCCCCCGCACCCCTTCCTACGTACATGCATATACATGTACATGTACGTGTTTTAATGTTTGTGGGTCAACTATAAATAGCTAACTATTGTTTAACTGTGATGAATAAGGGATGGGGTAAAATAGTTTAAGATATAAGATCAAGTTTATTATTTAATGAATTGTATGTTTTTTTTACACTTTTTACACTGCACGGTTTGGTATTCATTTATGATTTCCAACTTTCAACACTTTTTTTCCATTACTAAGGCTACTTCATTGTTCATTGTTTTATTATTATTATTATTTTCATATTTCTTTCTACTTTGTTGCCTTTATCATTCCTTTCACTTATCGTCATCAAAGGGGCGCGAGGCACGTATTTCATAGTTCATAGCTGTTTACTAACCAAATGCGTACATAAAATATGTTCCCTCTCTCTAGCGATGGATGTAAAAGGAATGTTTTAGCTTTGTGTCAATATCTAAAATGAGGATGATACAACAAAAATAAATAAATAAATAAATAAATAAATAAATAAATAAATAGCACCACTCTTGTTTTATAGTAGTGGTATTATATCAGCTTACAGAAGCGTAGAAAAGTAATACTCAACTTTCTGTATAATGGAATATGACGTGAGTGCATGAACACAGCTTGACATACCCTGTCCAGTGCACGAGTACCAACTAACGCAATGGCCTGAAATGGTTGTTTCTCCAACTTTTAAGAGGAAAAATAACTGAATAATAATATTTTATGATAACATATTGCTTTCTGTTTAAAGAAAATTCACAGTTGGTTTCTGAAACCGACCCACAAATTTTGCAAATCCGTCTGGAAAAAAATAATTTTAAGTGCAGCTGTACTGGGCTCGTCCACCAGTATGTGTGTTTGTTTAGCTTCTGTTGCATTTGTGTAAGTATAACTTCCTGAACAATGAACTAGATTCTATGATACAGATAGTCAGCAGTAACACCAGGATATAAACGGTTGCCTTAGTCACCGCAGTATGCAATGAGGAAAACTGCTGGTCAAACCGGAAAGGGGTCGCGAGTAACGTAAGGAGTGTGGATCACGGAATGTCCTGACTTCCAGTTTTATCCCTTCAACATGTCTTGTTTATTCGGAATCCATTAATATTTTTTATCGTCTTATTTATAATTTATAATAACCTGACGATTAACGCGTCTTTTCGCGGCGTTTTTCTAGATAATAAATAATGGATATATGTAAAAAAAATGCTACAATAAGGAAAATCCTATCGCAATTAATTTTAAAAAGTGACCAATGGAACTCATCCTTCACCCAAAGAACGGATGTGGTTTAAAAGCGCCGCGCCCTAATACACTGTGGGGTTTCACTATCAATAAACATCAAGGACAGCACATCCTTTTTCGTCAGGTTTGACTAACATGTGGTCAATGCATCGTTATTCTCACGCGAGTGACGGTTATATAGAACTGTCAGCGAATGATTTAGTTTATTTTCTGCAAGATAAAGGGACGTGGCGGTAATGGCTTACTTCAAATCATCAATATTTGTAGTCTGTCTCCTCCTAGTGTTACAAGTGAGAGGATGGCCTTTGTGCAGAACTTGTTACAGCAGATATTACGGTGGGTTTGTAGTCTTTCTAAAACAGTTTAAAATATTTTCTGACAACATTTATCATTTTATTGAAAATCTTCTGTTTGATTTTACTCATGCCACAAGCAATGGAATAACAAAGCACTGGCGCGCTTTTTTGTTTGAGTTAGTGGAGATAAATTACGCTTAAAGTTACAGAGGTGACATCTAAACACTTTGTCATTCACTGGGTAAAGGTAGACATTTTCTATAATCATATAAAGCAATGACATACAAATTTCCTTGATGTACCCACTGGGCCGTAAATTATATGTGAGGCAGAGTTTCGTCATGAGCAGCGACGGACAAATGTGTGATCAGCTGTTGGAACCGTCTTTGTATTTCTTCAAAACGTGTTGAGTTTTAAACTTTGTTATTTGTTGTTGGAATAATTCGGGCATAGAGGTTGGCTTATTCAACGGATTCAACGGCAAAAAAAAAAAAAAAATCAGTTCAGAACATTTGTTTCTTTCTATTTTTTTCAGGAATGAATTATGACGATATCTCATTTATATTAAAGACCAACGTTTAAAGTGCATTTCTTTTCAAACTGAAAGTGTTGATATATTTTGAGCTGTAAACTTATTAAGTTAGAGATTAAAGGGATAACAACTCTTCGTATGAGATCTATATTTCACAATAAAAACATTCTAAACAACTCATAGAAATATAGTATATTCTATTTCATCACAAAAACGGCAGTAAAAGCAAATATTCTGAAAATATGCTTTCCATTGTACCATGTGCCCGCCATAGATGGCTATACTCTATTATAATCTCTTAAGAGATTATTACAAAAAAAAAAAAAAACGTTTTAGAAAACAAAAAAAAAAAAAAAAAAAACAGGGACTGACTTTGAATGTGGAAAAGGATTCATTGACCATTGGTAAGTATATGGGAAAATTGTTGTTTACCCCAGGAAAATTCACTTTTTCGCCAAAATGAACAGTTGTTATCCCTTTAACTTTATCTAAAGGCACTGCAAAATTATTTTACCGCAATTTAAACCCTGCTTTACATATAGCTTCTACTTGTACAATCTGTTGGTCTCTAGGGTCATCTCACAGGGCTCTAGACAAAGGATTTCCAGGACTGGTAGTGATAGACGATGACAACCCTAGGT